TTCTTTCTAATATCCAACCTCACCTTCCCTTGCTGTAGCTTGAGCCCATTGCTCCTTCTGTCATCTGCCCCCACTGAGACCAGTCCAGCTCCATCCTCTTTGGAGCCGCCCTACAGGGAATTGAAGGCTGCTATCAAATCCCCTTCGGTCTTCTCTTTTGCAGGCTAAATACACCCAGTTCCCTCAGCCTCTTCACACAAGTCATATGTCCCAGCCCCCAAACCATTTTTGTTGCCCTCCACTAGACTCTCTCCAACGTGTCCACATCCTTTCTGCAGTGGGGGCCCACAGCTGGACACAGGACTCCAGATGTGGCCTCCCCAGTGCTGAATAGCGGGGAAGAATCACTTCTCTTGATCTGCTGGCAACGCTCCTACCAATGCAGTCCAGGATGCCGGTAGCCTTCTTGGCACCAAGGGCACGCTGCTGGCTCCTATTCGGCTTCTTGCCCCCTGTCCCCCCAGGTCCTTTTCTGCAGAGCTGCTGCCCAGCCCGTCACCCCCAGCCTGCACCGGTGTGTGATTCAAGAATCTTTTTTTTTGGTTTTTTGCTGTTGTTTAAAGCTAGTTACCATCCTTGTTTCAAAGGACTAATATTTGCATAATTATAAAGGATGTTTTGAGTATAAAAGGGTTTTTTTTCATTTGAAAGTGATATACTGGGAGGATCTGTTGTTCCTGTATATATAATTCACCCGAATGCAGCAGTCTAATTGGAAAAAAATAATAAAAAACAGAGGCTTTTTAGTAGGTTTGTTAGGTGTCAGCTATTGTAGAGTTTATGGTTTCATAAAATTATTATCCTTTTATTTAGCGCGAAAGACTTCATGCAGTAATACCTTATCCATTAGAAAATCGATCAGCCTTCTTTTTTTTTTCCTTTTGTTTTTGCTTGGACTATGTGGGCAGTGTTATCATAGTGGACATATTCAAAATAAATCTATATTTTAACATAAATTGAGTGGGGAAATATTCATGTATTTGATAAAATAAGCCAAAATGCTAATAAAATGTGTCACGTTGTGCTGACATACTCTGGTCAGGTTCATTTAATTTATTTCTAATTCTCGTCTCTAAAATGAAGAACAATTTCCAAATCTTGAAAAAATACAGCTTTTTATTGGCCTGCATATTATGTCATATGGTCAGACATACATTATACAATTACAGTTCAAAATCAACAAGAGTGAGGTAGGTCAGCTGCATGGAATATAATTTTGCTCTGTCTTTGTTAAAAGACGACTTGAGTCAGGTGGTTGACTGTCATTCGCTTGTGTGGTTACTTGAGACACAATTTGCTATCTAGGAAATACGAGATTGAATGTCTTTAGGACGAGGTGTCCAAAATACGGCCCATGGAGCTCTCTCACCTGACCCACACCACTGCCTGTGGTCCTGGACCGGTGCACCGCATGCAACATGTACAGGCCAGTCTTGGGCACATGCAGCAAGTGGTGAACACTCTGGGCCAACCCCACAGACCGGTCCCGCATGCTGGAGCCAGGATGCAGGGCTGGTCTGCGTGGGTGTCGCATGCAGTGTGTGCTCCAGACTGGCCCCATGCCCTGTGTGTAGCATGCGCCCTGGACGAGCACCACACACCACACACTGGGGCCAGGGCCAGTGCACACCACATAGCAGCCTGTGGGCCCAGAGCCAGCTTGGTGTGCTGCAAGCATTGTGTAGGGCCAGTCTGGGGTATGTGCTGCACGTTGGCTCCAGCATATGGGATTAGTCTTTGGGCCCAATCCAGCCCGCAGGCCAGCCTCATGCCTCTTGTCCAGCCTGCAGGGCCGAGTGAGTTTGACATCCCTGCATTAAGATACTTCCGCATACCTTTGCAGTTACAGGCGAGAGACCAAATTAAAACGAGAGCAAAGCAGATGCCTTCTGTAGAAGGTGTGGTCCTGGTACAGCTCACCGCGGTGCAGTGCAGTGCAGAGGCCTCCATAGTAGTAGTCTGAGTGGTGTTCACTGTTTATGTGGAGATCAGCTGTAGTTGGAAGGACCCGTTTGTCCTGCAGCTCTTCCCAGTCCAACCCTCCACGGTGTCTCCTGGAAGCAGACGTGCACTGGGCAGACGGAGCTGTCTCACGTGCCTGTTTCATGGAAGAGCGGGGGGTCGGCTGTGCTGGGTGCTGCCAGGCTGCGGCGGTGGCAGCGTCCCCCCGATTGAGAGCTGCTTCGGCAAGTTGCGGCAGCACAGCAGTGGTTCTCAACAGGGGGATGCCAAATCTTAAAAAAAAAAAAAAAGGTTGTGGATGGGTGCCCTGATTCCAGAAGGGTTGAGCCCCATGGAGTTAGCAGTAGTTACCCTCAAATTAGGTCACACATTTAGCACTTAATGTTCAGGATTAGGCAGACAGTTTCCCCATAGACACATTAGTACAGTATTGTCTAATCTGGAAGTTTTACACCTTCCTTCCAGGCATCTTCTGTTTGGTCCTGTCAGAGGCAAGGTGCTGAATGCAAAGGACTGTGGCTGGTTGTTTTGTTGTTGCTCATGTAAGCAAAGAATGAAAAGGCAGTGGGTTGGACAGGTATATCTGAAGACACGCTGTGACTGGCAGAGTCTTTTAATGCTAATCAAAATGTATGAGCCTGAAACATCTCAGTCCAGTTTGCAGATTTTAAATTGTGACATTGTGCTATTGAAGCTAGATAGCTTTAGTTTTTCCTTGTGAAGTGAGGGAATTTGTTCCATCAAGGCTTTGAAAAAAGAAACATGTATTCCCACAGTGTTGTGGCTAAATAATCTCTTTTCCAATTGAAATTGTGCTTTAAAGATCCACCACATTTATTGGCATCCTTAAAACAAAGATCTAAAAATATTTATGCCAGAGGCAAGGATTCCTTCAGGTGATATCTTTTATTGGACCAACTATGCAGTTGGGATAGAGTTAGACAGACTTTCAAATGCAAGACACTCTTCCTCAGGTCTGAGCAGGAGGATCCAGGCCCAGCATAGTAAGAGCAGCAGCGGGAGGTGGTGAGAGATTCCCGGGGGCAGCAGACGCACAACGGTGTTGTGATCAGACCTGAGGGAGAATGTCTTGCTTTTGAAAGCTTGTCTAACTCTGTCCCAGCTCCATAGTTGGTCCAGTAAAGGATCTCACCGTAAGAAACCCTTGCCTTTCACATAATTGCTGGACTGTCGTGGCTACAGCATCACTCTCACACAGCCTAAAAACAGCGAACATTCAAGTTCTTGTTCATGCAGAGCCTGTCAAGCCGTGTGCTACATCCGCACTGTTCGCAGTGGGCTAATTGACATAAAACATCTGTGTGGAGGCTTTTCGGTCAGTGCTGGTGACTGATGGAGATGAGCGTGAACCTGGATTGGGCTTCTCCTATCTAAATCATAATGAACGTGGACTGCTAGGTTGATTTGCCAGAAACCTAGAATAAGTGAACATTTGACAGCAGGACAAGGTTAGAAACAGCTGGCTCATGAATTTTACTTTTAGTCTTAACACTGGTCAGTAGGGCTGTGTGAAGCTTTGGGTGCTGATTCGATTTGGAGGAGATTCTGCCCAGTTCTGCAACTGAATCTCCAGATCTGAATCGAGCCAGGAGACCAGTTAAAAGGTCCGAATCAATTCAGAGCTCTCTGAATCAATTCGGGAAAGATTCAGAGAGCTTTGGAGATTCGGGGAGTCCCCGCTCGCTGCCGCAGGGAGGTGGACATGGACTCGGAGCTGGTAAGTAGGGGGCAGGGGAGGGGACCCTGGGGGGACCCCTGCCAGGCCTCAGCCCCCACCTGTCCCAGCTCTT